TATATGCAGTGTATTATTTGTTGAAACTGTCCTTCCGATTTGATTTGAAACTGTCTCATTGCTATCTCTTTGTCAATAAAACTTTGAGAAAAAAAAAAGACTAGGGTTGATATTAATATATGAAAAATAAAAGTATAGCAAATGGAACCCAAAAATATGAAGGGAGGCTAATAATCTGAAAGACGCATAAAGACAGAAAAAATTACCAGAATTAAATATGCTACTGAAAGAAAAGCTGACAATGAATACTAAAATTGATCAAGAAGAAATAGAAAAATTTTAAACTTGTATAGTACCTTGACATGAATTTGTCCATTAGTACTGCTACATAGAAAATTTTCATATGAAAATGCAAATAACTTTACATGAATCTATGCCTTGAAATATCTAAAATTTGAGGAAAATTACTTAACTTTTAGAATATTAAAAATCAAAATCTCCATGAGATTAAAGTCAACACAGTATAATGTTTATTAAAAGATAAAAGTCCACAGTTAAATATTTCACTTCAAATTTTGTAGATTAAAAACATTAGCAGTGAAATTTATAAGCATTCACAATCATATTTATACTGACCTCGTTCTTTCAGAGAAGATGGAAATCAATTCTTTGAAAAAAGGAGCTAACTGGTGTTACTTATAGCAGAGAAATGCACTTAGAAGAAACAAAGTTCACAATCAACTTTTCTTTTAAACTAAATTCACATGTTCTTTTTAAAATTACTTCAGTGGCTGTACAATAGAAGGAAATTGAATTTATTCATTTTATAAAACACTTAAACATAGGAGAACTTGTACTGTAATATTCTGTAACTCAGTTATGTCCCAAATTTTCTGCTCAAGGAGACTAGGGGGCCACAAATGAAAGTAATCAACGATGTAGATTGTGCTTAAGGAGAATCACATTCACATTGGGAGAGAAAACATTCTTTCAGGCTTTCACAGAGAGCAAATTAATCAAGCAATGGCTGTGACTCATCCACATGGCTGACACTGACAAAGAATCTACAAACTGTGGTACAGTGTTTCAGGATAAGTCCTGAGAGGACTTGACTGACCTTGTCAGATACAAAAATTACATTTCTTGTTATATAGTGTTGCTTTATCTTGGTCTTAACCATCCAGCAGAAAAGTGTAGAAACGAGGTATATCATGGTAAAGTTAATCCATGTTAATATGCTGGGCTGTGGAAAGCTCAAGTCAACAGCCTCGGACATTGCCAGTCCTGTGTATAACCCACTACTATTGTGGACTACTGGACTATATTGGAATATTTTGCTGAATTCATACACCTACAATACTTGAATGGCATTGGAATACCAATCTCTGACCAAATTAAACACAAAAGGAGAAGTAAATGAAGGACTATTTTGTATCTGTATATACAAAATAATTAGGATAGATATATTGTTACTTTTTCTTAATTCAAGAAGATTTGTACTAATAGTGTTTGGACAGGATATCATGTCTGCATCTTGTGCTATGAATGACTAATACAAAGACAATAATATGCAATGTATTAATTTTTGTTGCTCTCCTACCAATCTGTTTTGAAACTGTCTCATTGCAATTTTTTCTCAATAAAATTAATTCAAAAAATGAAAAATAAAAATAAAGAAATGAAGAAAGTAACATTTAGACTTAAATCATAAAAAATTAAAAGTGATACCCAATTTCATTCAACAACATAATATGAATGCCACAGTATTTTTTGTACTAGATAGTGTTGTCTTCCAACAAGTTATTGGTATTACCAAACAGATGCACATAAAATTGAAGAACATAGAAAAATACGAAATGTAAGAGAAATGAAGAATATAAAAAGAACAAACAATTGAAAAAAGAACACGAAACAAATTAAAATATTAATGGCTTCTTTCTGCAGACCATGAGAAATGCACAGCACAGTGGTCAATGAAATGATACTCGATTTCCTGGTTATGGAATACAAGACTAGTTCAAGAGACAAAACAGATAACTCCATTCCACATGTCAGTCATAAGGTCCACATTGATAAAATTTTGAAAATTTGCTTTTGCAATATTTAAAATTATTAAATATGTAGGTAAACATCCTGCAAATGTTTGTAAAGACACAAAATGCAAACTAATAAAATATATTTTTTTCAGTAAAATGTTACTAAGTAGTTGCAGAAAACAAGTTTGTAGAATGATACGCACAATAATGGAACTAATTCTCATTCAACACGTTTCTTCATGTGCAAGACCTTGGACTGAGCAAATTATGTTGGCCTCTTAATGTGAGGTTCTTCACTGAATATCTATTGAATCATGTATACAAATTAGATTTAAATCAAATAAGAAAGTATTTGAAAAAAGTAATTTGGCAAAATAGGATTTTTTATGGATATAACAGATTTAAAAGTGTAAAAATCAATAGTGTTATGTAGGAATTATTCTATATACATTTTTCTTTTATTTGGTATCTGCAAAGAAACAGAAAGTGTGATTTGTTCATACATGGGTACAATCAAGGGCTCTGGAAAGCTCAGGAAAGAAATTCTCCTTTGGAACACAGGTTTGGCAGATGTAAGGAGATTGTTTTTCAAAACATATAAATTAAATAGTTTGCAAATACATTTCATTTCAAAGTTTGACTTCAGTCTCATATCCTATAAAGTAGAGAAAGAGAAAAAAACAAGGTAATTGTTTTTTAAAAAAGAACAATTTTGTTCAAATCCATTGAATTTATGATGATGGTTTTGTGAAAAAAATAAAAATAAAAAACAAGCAAATGACATTTTAATTTTGCTAGATATGGAGCTCTGTTTGACGTGCCCGGACCACCAATATGCAAAACCTCAAAGAAACCAGTACCTGCAAAAAGCTGAGACTTTTCTGGCTTATGAAGAACCCCTGGGGAAGACTCTGGCTTGCACTGCCCTGAGTCTCACTCTTCTTACACTTGCTGTTGTTGGACTCTTTGTGAAGCACAGAGACACTCCCATAGTCAAGGCCAACAACCAAGCTCTCAGCTACACCCTGCTCATTTCCCTTGCCTGCTGTTTCCTATGCACTTAGCTTTTTATTGGCAGTCCTAGCACAGCCTCCTGCATCCTCCAGCAGGCCTCATTTGGAGTTGTGTTCACTGTGGCTATTTCCACTGTCTTGGCCAAAACCATTACTGTGGTGCTGGCCTTCAAGATTACTGCTCCAGGGAAAAGGATGAGACAATTGCTGGTGTCAGGTGAACCTAATTTCATCATCCCTATCTGTTCCCTGATTCAAATCACTCTCTGTGGAATCTGGATGGGGACAAATCCACCCTACATTGACACAGACCCACACTCAGAACATGGCCACGTCATCATCATGTGCAACAAGGGCTCCCTCACTGCCTTCTACTGTGTCCTGGGATACCTGGGCTCCCTGGCCCTGGTGAGCTTCACTGTGGCTTTCCTGGCCAGGAACATGCCTGACACATTCAATGAAGCCAAGTTCCTGACATTCAGCATGCTGCTGTTCTGCAGCGTGTGGGTCATCTTCCTGCCCGTGTACCACAGCAGCAAGGGGAAGGCCATGGTGGTCATGGAGGTCTTCTCTATCTTGGCTTCCAGTGCAGGGCTGCTGGGCTGCATCTTTGTCCCCAAGTGCTACATTATTTTGCTAAGGCCAGAGAGAAATTCTCTTTCTGTGTTCAAAGATAAAACTTCTTCCAGAAGAAAAATGCCCAGTTAACTAAAAGTTGTATTGTTTTACTAAGGCAATATTTAGGTTTTGAGCCAATTCTGAATAATTTTGCAAGCTTATGCTAGATATTTTGTGAGTTACTGCAATAAATAAAGGACTATTTTTTCTGTAATAGATTTATACTTGTGATTGTCCAAAACTGTTACATTTTTCAACAGCAAATTGATTTAAACTTTGTTCCTTTTTTATTCCATGAACTTTATTATTTATGCTCACTTTAGATTCTACTGTTATCTTATTTTGTTTTTGCCTTGAATTTTGAACACTGTTATGAATTTTGAAACACTAATTTTTATTCATAGATGAAAACTTCTGAATCCCCTAAGGGAGTTTAGACTTTCACTTACATTAGTCTTTCTGTATTCCAGAAATCACTGGTCATATGGCATCACAAATACTCTTGAATTCTCAGGTTATTAAACAGACTGCCTACCCCATCTTATAACTGAACGTCCTTGTTTCTTTTGGAAATACTCCATGTGGATCTCCTCTGAGAATCAGTTGCTAACCAGGCATGGAAAGGTCAATAGCATCGTGTCCATTTTTTTTAACTTACAGCTAGTCATCATCAACTTAAATGAAGGAATGAAGGTGAATATTTTCTATGGTTTTCTAACATTCAAGATGCTAACTTTGTGGCTGGGGAGATAACTCAGTTGTCAAAGCACCAGACTGGGAAGCACAAGGTCCCAGGTTCAGTGCCTGGTACTGCAAGCCGTGCTGACCAACAAAACCAGCCACGGTTTCAAATGCCTGCAATCCTAACCCTGGCAAGGCTGTGATAGGAGCATAACGATGAGTCTGAGTGCTGTAGAGAGACCTTGTAACAAACAAATGAAAAATAAACAGACAGACAAATAGATCAAAGTTTAAAAATTAAATGCTGACTTTGACAACTCATCTTTGTGAATTTCTAATTTATAATAATGAAAATGTGCATAATGATGTTTTAATTTGTTGTTTTGCAGTAAATCTCAATGGCTCAAGGCAAAAAAGGCAATGTGTTCAATGTGCATTTTAAATTACACGGAACTTGTTAGTGTGTAGTAGTGATATTTTATATGCATAATAGTCTCAATCTTTTCTTGTACCATCCTAAATAGCCCTTCATTAGGAATCATACATCTAGTATTTGTCTTGTGTATATTTGATATATAACATAATGTAGTGGGCTGCCATGCTGTTGTGCTGCACTCATGTTGGAGTTGAGAATGGGGCCTTGAGAGCTGAGGAAGACAATTCAGCAAACTCACAGCTTCTCTTCTGGATGTATCACAACTAAACTTTGCAGACAAAAATAAGGGAGAAAGAGGCGCTGCAAGGGTAGCCAATACTTTGGTCCTTGCCCTTCAAGGTTGGTAAAGACTCAGGACATGAGAACCTGTGCTGTGACATCTTGTAACTCAGTGGTGTCCCAAATTTTCTTATAAAAGAAATTTGGGGAGACAGAGAAAAGTGATTGATGGTGTATAATGTGCCTAAGGAGAGTCACCTAGAGAGAAAAAATTTCTCTCTGGCTTTCACAGAAAGCAAATTGGTCAAGAAGTGGCCATGCCTCATCCAGATAGATGACACTGACAAAAGATATACAAGGCTCTGTATATGGTTCCAGGGTAAATCCTTGGGAGATTTGACTGACCTTGCCAGACATGGAAGTTACATTTTAACTTATATAGGTCTTATTTTAACTTGTTCTTAACTATCCAACAGAAAATTATAACCATGAACTATAAAAAGACATACCATACTATTATGTTGAGCTGTAAAAGGCTCAAGTCAGGGCTGGTCATTGGGCTCAGACGATTAAAGCTCCTGCAAGATGGCACAGGGGCTTGGGGTTCTATCCCCTGTCCTGCCGTGCAGGCCCCTCCCCTAGGATGCTGTGAGAAAGCGATTGAGATTGGGCATGGTGGCACACCCCTGTAATTCTAGCACTTGGGATGCTGTAAACAGGTGGATTACTGTGAGTCCAATCTAGTAGTGACATCCTGAACATCTTGTAGATAGACCCTTCCCTAAAATACAAAAAATAAAATAAAATAATAAAAATTGCACATTAGATTGTTTTTAGGACAGTCTGATATCAGCAGAAAGTCATTGGTAACCTAGCCAACTCCCAAGATGTTGATTTCTTACCTGCTTAGAAGATGAGTATTTTGTTCCCTTAGGTACTTGGCCAGGTATTGGTGACTATAGTCTCTATTTCTGGTCACAGAAAAGATTGGGATACTCCTACTTTTGTGTCAACTGGTATTTAAGGGGCCTACTGGTGCGAGGACTAAGAGATCACATTCTGTCTGGACCCTTTCCAATCATAACCCTGAAAACCACATGAAAGGACTGCTCAGCAGTGGAATCAGCACTGGAATCATCTGACCTGGTGTTGTAAATTTTTTGGTGTTTTCACTTTCTTTTGTGTAATCATGTATGTGATATTTATTAAGAATTTTTACATTTTGTTTTATTATTTATACCTTGATGATAGAGAGGCTTTTGTTGTTTGGGAATTGAGGTCTATGCATTAAATGGATCTGCCCATGGACTCTTTAATGCTAAACCTCTTTGGAAGCAGGAGCAGCAGAGCAAGGATTTGGGCCTTTTGCTTCCATTCATAGTGTCTGTACTTCTCTGATACTCTTCTCAACATCCAGATATTTGGTTATATTCTAACTCATTTCTAAACACATTCCCAATATTTGCATTGTTTTTGAGATGGAAACTTCCCATGCTAATTATGCTAAGGGCAATTTCCTCGGCTCATGTGTTTCTTTTCCTTCAGGTTGTTGAGCAGCCTGATTTACAGGTATTTGACCTAACATCCTAAATGTGTGTTTTTGTTCCTTCATTTTCTAAAATGTGTGTTGTTACAGATATGCTCCATATAAAACTTTGACTCTTGCTGTTGCTATTTGGTGTTCCCTTATGGTGACACATCAGGACTATTTTTGAGTGTTTAACTAAGAGAACTCTCCTCTTAATATCCTACACAATGAGAGAAGATTAATTACTCATGGAACTTACTGAAAATTATAAGAAGATTTTCATTTTACTCAGTATAGAATGCACTGAAATTTGGTTTGTTTGGCGAGGTGGACTGTGAGTGATGGATGGGTTAGTGAGTACTTAGCACTAACCACAAGTCTGGAGGAGGTTAATGGGAGACTCCAGATAATCTCTCAGAAAGGACCCTAACTAAAGACAGCCCAGTGTGATCAGGCAGCATCTGAGTAGGATGGGGAATGACAAACTGATCAGGTATCAAGAGTGACCAGATTTCAAGACTAGTTCAAGGATGAAGGATCTGTTTCTATTCCTAGAAGAAGGGGATGAGCTGCTTACTGTTCTTTTGTCCAATGCTGTCCTCACATATGCTCAGAGCCTCAGGATGCTTTTGCAATTGGTCCGGCTCCAGTCTTATGCTCTGTGAGCTCTGTGCCTGAAAAGAACGCACTTGCAGTTCTAAGATCTTATTCTTAGGCTTATGCATTCTTTTGCATTTTTTTGTTGTTGAGCTTTTTTGTTTGTTTGTTTTTTGTTTTTTGCGGAACTGGGGATTGAAGTCAGCCCCTTGCATTTGCCAGGGAAGCACTTATTCCACTGAGCGGTCCCCCAGGCTTATGCATTCTTTCAGGAGCTAGAGTTTAGGATCAGAGGAGAGAACTTCAACCTCTGCAAAAATGAGAAAGAAAGAGGAAAGAACTTGTGTTCAGATATGCAAATACAGTGACCATATTTGTACTTTAACCCTCAGAATACCTTGGCTATCAACACATAATATGTTCACCAAAGACCCTGATGTGTAGGGTTCAGTGTTCTTTTAAAGTCTGGGGGTGTGAATGGAGCACCTCAGGAGAGAATGAGGAGGAAAGCCTGAAGTTCTGCAAGGCTTTCTCAATCTTTGGGTTCACAGGGTAGCACTCATCAAGCCTCCAGCTACCAGTGGTACAGGCAGCATCAGCTCAACAGAGCAATGATGATCACAATGATCGGTGAAGTGGTCACAGCTTAGGGGATCTTTGATGAGGAGGAGGAAGAGATGGGGTAGAGCTCACTAAGTCTCCACAACTCTCCTGGGGACAATCTGACTTCTATGACTTTGAGAGCAGTGGTTGAAGCCCAGCCAAGCTACTGTGAGGGTCAGAGATGGTGTGCCCTAAAATATTTTTTAGTGCTTTTATCTCTTTACCAGACTCTTAGGGCTTTAAAAATATTATATTGTAAGTTTTGTTAATGCTATTGTTATGCAACATATGTTTGTGTCATAATGACTTTCACTTATCAACTGTATATTAGAAATTATTTTTTATCATTTACTTAAATTTTGTCTGGGACCTCTGCCAGGATTTTCTTTTATTCTTATGTGAATAATCTTATTCCTAATGGGCTATTCATGCCTGCTTGTCTCTTCAGTTCTTTTGTTCTCTCCTGACTTGCTGAATATTTATTATTTAGAAATGACTAAGAAATATCAAACACTATTAATCCAGACAGTTCAACTGTGTGGTTCCAATTTTCTTCTGTGCTAGTGTGTCCTGCATTTGTCTGGGTTGACTTGGGGCCTGAGAATGCCTTTTGCTCCTTCTCTTTGTCATTTTGTATAAAACTGTCCTCTGACCTTTAGTGTAGAGCTTTGTGGCAGTTTGAACCTTAGCACCTGCTGAAATTCTTACTCAAGTGTGACTATATGGTTGAGGCAGTTATATTTTTCTATTTACAGAACTACAATTAGGAACACTAATAATGGATAGTGATATTTAGCAATGGACAAATGTTTGTAATTAATGGCTTTGTATTTTAGACAGTAAGAGCCAACATTATGTCTTTACTTTTTAAATTTTTTTGCATTATGTCTTTCTAGTTAAGCAGATATTAAATTGGAAATTCGTATTTAGGTTAGTTCCCCTAAGTTATGTCTGATCACTTCTCCTTGTACCTTGTGTTCTCTAGGCAGACTCTTTTACCCCAGTCACATTTTGCCCCGTTTCTCT